GGCGGGGGAGGAATGACCCAGGAGGACCAGGCAAGCGGGTGAGCAGAGGCCCGGAGGTGAGCAGGCAGGTTGATTCTGACCTCGAGCAGACAGTGTAGACACTGGCCATGAGTAGATGGAAAGTATTGCATGTCCCTCATCAGAGTGACCCGGTGAAGAGAGGGTCGGGAAATACGTGTTAAACTCAGTTCTGGGCGCAGGTGGTGGTGTGCTTTGGGAAGATGTGAGTGAGCACACCTGAGCGGAAGGAGCCGGAAGGACAGGCCAAACTAGGGGCTGGACCAGGGGAAGGCAGACAGGGCATGTGGAAGCAGGGGAACATGGAATGGGCAGGTGTGCTAGTTTATTCTAGAAAAGGCTCACCGATGCAGCAAAGGGGCAGCTGGAACTAAATGCACACCCTTCCTTGTCTCCAAACAGCCCCTCTTCTGGGCTCAACATCTCATCTTCCATCCGTGTCAGACCTGACCCCTCAGTGTCATCAGGAATCTCACTCTTCCCACTAACTCCCCCTCCACCTGCCCTCCTTTGTCCTGAAGGCCTGGGTGACGTGTAGATAGAGGGAGAGGGAGAGGAAAACATAGCCTAAGACAGAAGACCCTGGGCTCCCGTGGCCTCTCATCTGTAGGAACAGGACTGCTTAGTGAGAGGGAACAGCGGGCGCTGATGCCTCTCCAGGGACCAGAGGCGAAAGGCTGTTTGCTTGCAGCGCCTGCTCGCTGTCATACATGGAAGGAGCTTGCTGGATGTCAGCTTGTCTTGGGGTGAAGTTGTTCTGTTGTCAGGCTGAGGGTGGGGTGGAGGATGGGTGCTGATTGTTAGGTACAGGAGCGAGGGGGCTCTGGGTACAAAGGGGATAAGATGCAGATGGGGTGACACATTGTCCTTCCCCTGCAAATGGTCAGAGCTGCTGTGTGTTTGTCCTAGGAGCCGGGGGGGGGGGGGGGGCGCGGAGGTACAGAGAGAACCTTTTCTCAAAATACAGTGTCCTTTGTTTTATCGCTCTTGAAATTTAAAAGTTTCTTGAAGCTAGTTTTTAAAATTCAAGTTTGGGAGTAGCCTTGCGGGTCGAACAACACAATTGCAAAGCTCTCTGCCCTCTGCAGAGGGGAACGGAGCACAGACCTGCTTTGCAGGCCTTCACAAAACCACCTTCTGCTACCTGCAGAGTGAGGGCTTGACAGAATCCAATGGACAGGCGAACGGGAGAAGCACAGATTAGACAGCAGAGCCTGGGGGACGAGTGGCCATCCAGACCACGAGGAGGATTCATGATGACAGGGTGACAGGTGGGGGTGGGATCCAGAGAGGTCAGCACAGAGAAGAACGAGCGGGGCTGGCGATGGAATTTGGGCTGGGAAATATCAAACACTGCGTATTAACTAGAAATTCTAGAAATTTATAGATACCTCTACTCTGAATTGGAGAGTTTTTCTTGGCAAATTGAGAGTTTAGTTAATTGGATATTTTATTACTAGGGATCATGTTCAATTTCACATGAAGGTTTGCCGTGGAGGAATGCTATAAAGTGTCAAGACACTGTTTATGCTCTGGCCAGGAGAAAATAAGCCACAGCCCAGCGCCAGCGTATTTATTGCAGCCGAGGCCCCGTGTTTCCCCGCTCCGTGTGCTGCTGTAGTGTTTTCGTTGGTGGGGTAAGTGTGAAGGGAGATGTGAGCCTGCATCGCGGGAGACAGACGTGAATGCTCGCTCTGGAGTCCTGACACCGGCCACGCAGCCAGCGGTGTGATTCTGCGCCCGCCTCCAGCCTCTCCGGGCTGCCGCGTTCTCTCGCCGGTGAAATGAGGTTGGATATCACTACTGAGGTCAGGTGATTCTAAGAGAGAATAGAGAAGGACAGGACTTTTGTTTGTGAGTAACATTTCATAAAATGTATACTTAAAACATAGAAACACACTCTGTATGGTACCCAGATCTGCCTTCCCACACGTGTTTTCCGTGTAGCTCATGTAGGGGAGGCCGTGGATGACAGCTAAACTGATGGCAGGCTTGAGAAGTCTCACCCCAGCCCTGTCTGTGCTGCCAGCGCTGGCCCCCTGCGGCTCTGTTCACACATTTAATTCGTGGCCTGGCCCCGAAAGGTGGGTTGCCAGGTGTCCTTTGCATTTTCCAGGCAGCTCCGTATGTGTGCTGTCTGTTTGGTTAAGCCAAGGACACTTTCATGATAGGAAGAGAAAAAAGGCCGACAGGTTTGGAGTCAGACACACCCGGCATGGGGGCTGGACGGGAATACTACATGTACGGAGCTCAGTTTCCTCACCTGTAACCACAGGGCAATGGAGCCACCTCCCAGGGTTCTGACGAGGACTGGGTGACCCCAGGGGGAGCACCATGCACGCTGCCCAGCACCCACCCTCGTGGAGGCATGAGCCGTGCTCTTTTCTGCCCATGCGAGGCCTCCTTGGGGGAGAGAGGGTGTGCCTGACTCTGCCATCGCTGTGAGAATATCTGCAGACCCTCCTGGAGCACTTGGCCACTCTCCGGCGGTTCCCCGCCTTCCTTCCTGCTTCACCAACCACTGCTTGTCCTTGGAGAAGAGGAGAGGGACAGAGAGAAAGTGAATCTAGGAGACTCTGGCGGGGCACAGTCACAGGGAGGCCCCTAAAAGAGTGCAGGTGACCGGGAATGCAGAGGAGGAGGGTCCAGAGAGAATGATGGAGGTGGGGAGGGGTTGGACTCAAACATAAAGGAAACATCGCTACTCCCAGCAGCCCCTTATCACATCTTGCACTAGGGACCAGGGAGTGCCTTGGGAATGCCAAAGCAGGAAGGTCAAGGTGTTTCGTAGACGTTTCCAGTTCGGTCTCTGAGGCTATAGCGTCGGATGAAATAAACAAACCAAGGTATCTCTTTCATGCAGGCACATTTCATTATTCTTGCCGTGATTTTGCTGACTGTGCTGCCGATAAGGATGCAGGAGGCTATAGAGGAAGTATTTTCCTTGGGGTGTGTAATAGGCAGTCCATTAAACTGGGCCAGAGAGAGAGAGAGAGAGAGAGAGAGAGAGAGAGAGAGAGAGAGAGAGCGGGAGCGCTATGGAGGTTGCTCTGGGAAGGGAGGGCCTAGCTCCCATGGCTTCTCTTCCCAGCCCTGCCTCACCTTGTGGAATGTGCTGCTTAACCTCCCTCTCTTTCAGCCAGTCTCTGGAAACTGGAATTGCCACCAGCTCTCACTGGGTGTGAAGACAGCGAAATGATTGAAGCCAGTGGTCGGCAAACTGCGGCTCCTGAGCCACACGCGGCTCTTTGGCCCCTTGAGTTTGTAGCAAAGGCCAGCTTAGGAGTACCCTAATTAAGTTAATCACAATGTACCTACCTATATAGTTTAAGTTAAAAAAATAAAATTGGCTCTCAAGAGAAATTTCAGTCGTTGTACTGTTGGTATTTGGCTCTGTTGACTAAATGAGTTTGAGTTTGCCGACCACTGATTTATGCGATAGTGCCCTGCTCGGAGGAGATACCTAGATGCTGCATAAAGAAGGCATGTCCCAGGAAGAAGAGGATCTGGTTTTCTCTCAGCAGTCAGTGGTTGCAGATAAGAGGAGAATATATCAGATAAAGTGGACCCAGACTTCCCTAATGAAGGCTCACACAGCATCACGTGAGGCTCTGGGTGCCTCTGTCACCGGCACCCTGTTCATTTCTACTCTTTGCACGTTGTAGTTTACCCTTGGATTTGCAACTGAATCAGCGTTTGGGAAGTCCTTGTGCTTTAGAAGCTTGCACTTCCAGGGGCAGTATTCTGTTGGCATCTTCTTTGACCCTTAGTCCCTGATGAAATGAATCCTAGCAGTAAGGAACCCGTCAGAATTTGGGATGGTAACACACAGACACATAAAAGGGTAGTTTCCAAGGTATAAACTTCAAACCATTATGAGTTAAAGAAAATAAGAAAGGTATAGTGTGTTTGTAAATTGATGTTGATTTGGTATCTTTTTCAATCCTCTCTCAAATTAGTAGCAGGCATTAATGAACCGAGCCCACTAGATCCGGCCACTTACTATTGCCCTTCACTGGTATCTTTTCTGCTGTGCCCCTGGTAGGCTCAAGGAAAAGTGTTATTGCTTCAGCGGATAAAAATAAAATCAAGAAACAGTCAGGTAGTAGAGATAAGATAGATAAATCACTGTAGTAATAAAAGGACAACAGTGAGTAGGTCCCCAGAGAGTGTGATCAGAATGCTCCAGGGAGCTGCCATGGGGCTGAAGGAGGACCCTGAAATCCTGCACAGTTGGAAGGGATACTCAGGAAAAGGCGTCAGAGAGGCGGTGCACTTGAAGCACATCAGGTAGGACTGGCAGGATCCTATGTGGTGGAGTTGGGGAAGGGAAGGATTTGTGGGTGGTGATGACTGTCAAAGTGCCGGTAAGTCCATAAGCTCCTAAAGTTCTGTTCAGTAGTGTCTGTGCACATGTCTGTGTGCATGTGTGTATATATTGTGTGTGTCTAGGTACAGTCATATGTGCATTTTATTTTTATAAATATATATTTTATTTATTTTAGAGAGGAAGGGAGAGGGAGAAAGAGAGAGAAACATCAATGATTAGAGAGAATCAGTGGATTGGCTGCCTCTTGTACACCCAACACTGGGGATGAAGCCCACAACCTGGGCATGTGCCCTGACCAGGAATCAAAGGGTGACCTTCTGGTTCATAGTGCTCCACCACTGAGCAACACCAGCTGAGCTTTTAAAAAATAAAAACCTTATATTCTCTTCAAAAACGAAAGACCAAAGATTTTGAGTAGAAGCATTGCCCAAACTCCGTTCTCTAGTTCTCCTGAAAACGAGAATACCTCCGAGCAGTACTTCCTATTAATAGACATTCATGTTTATACTGGCCAGGTAGGAATGAGGTGTTTTTTGATTTTCTTTTGTCTGGGCATCTAGGATTGGGGCTACTCCCTTTTTTTAAAAAAAGTATGTTGAAACGTTAGACTTCCTGTTTCTGCTTGATTTTGAAAATACCTCCTGCTCGCCTATCACAGGTGATCTCTGTGTTCTTGTGTAGCCGTGGTTTACAGGTAGCAAGTGCAGACAGCAACCAGTCCCTCCTCGCTGGGATGTGGAGATCTATCTGGAGTCACAATTAAAGGCTCCCGAGTGCATTCCACTGCAGGTGACGAAACCCAGCTCCCAGAATAACAAGCAGGACAACTTTTAAAGTGACGGTTGTTGACCAGTGTCTTCTGTGCCTTTGCTTGGCAAGCTCATGGTGGACTTTTCTAAAGGACGGTGTGGATTTTTCTGAATTGTTCTCGGGGAGGACGGACCCCTCCTGAAGGTGGGACAGATGCCATAGGATACAACAGGGTGTCTGTGCGTGTCCCTCCCGTCGGTGTGACTCTGCCAAGACTCTGGGAGGCTGTCCTGATTGACAGGGAGAAAATGCTGAAACTAGGTGAGTTAAAGCTGCCCTCATCTTTAACTTGGGTTTAATGTGCATGACGGAAGCTGGTGGAGAGTTCAGATGACTAAGTAACCTGGTATTGTCTGCGAGGGAACAACTTTTGGTGGCAGCTTGAAGGCAGTTGTGTTCAATAAATCACGGCTTTTCTCTTGCTGGGACTCTGGGTGTGGAGGGCTGGTGTTACGCTGAGGGAGGTTTGCCTACAGTGGGTGGAAAAAATGGCATCTATAATTTGCATGTAGACAGTTTCATTTGTAGCTACATGAAGGCTTGAGATGTTTCAGAGATGGGGCTCTGAAAAGATTGGGTAGCTTTTTCACTTAAAGTTTCTTCTTTTAAAAAAAAATAATTTCCACAAGTTTATTACCTCTAAGGCATCGCCAGATGCCAGTGGTCTGGTAGTGGCAGTCACGCCATGTGATGGCCTGCAAACTCAAGGATATTTATCTCTGCTCTCCCGTTGTGTAGATGTTTGTCAGATGATTCCTGCTACCGTTTCCTCTAACAGCCAGTAAGCAATTTTATCCTATCTATAAGCCCTTCTTGTACTTTTAAAATCCACCGTAGGCCTGTTTTCAGCCATATTGAATGATTCTACGAGTGTACTTAATTTTGTTAAGGCAAATTTGGAAAGTTTTTGAGGATTGAAGTAAAGATAGCATTTATACATTTTTTTCAAGTTTACATATAATATTGATTGAAGTTTATCTAGAATTTTTCTGCTCAAAAAAACTTTCTGGAGCTTAAATTGAATGTTAGAAAGGAACTAAAAGTGTGAAGACAGCCGAAACCAGTTTGGCTCAATGGATAGAGCATCGGCTTGGGGACTGAAGGGTCCCGGGTTCGATTCCGGTCAAGGGCATGTACCTTGGTTGCAGGCATATCCCCAGTAGGGGGCGTGCAAGAGGCAGCTAATCGATGACTCTCTCTCATCGATGTTTCTAACTCTCTATCACTCTCCCTTCCTCTCTGTACAAAATCAATAAAATATATTAAAAAATAAAAAAAATAAAAGTGTGAAGACGTAGGTGGGTGTTAATATATCTAGGTTCTTGACTCATTAGTTGAATGCTTGTCAGCTAAGGCTATTATTTCCTAGACCCATGACTTCTTGTGTGATACAGAATGTGGTCACCGGCACATCCTGTGAGTTAAACGTTCATTTGCCTACCAGATGTCTGGAGCTGTGCTGGTGATTCTCCATCAGCTTTCTCTCTCTCTATGCATATAGGCACATTCTATCCGATCTATGAAATGGCTATGTGCCTGTGACTGTATATCATGGCACATAGGCTGTTGGGATGAGAGCCAAGTTTGGCTGGGAAGGTTTTATAGAAGAAGGGGTTTGGGGTAGAGTTCCAAAGGGAGGGGGAGTTAAATACTTTGGCAGAAAGAAGGAGCATACATAAAGCTTCCAAGGCTGGAGTAAGTCAAACACATTCGGGAATAAGCACGAACCATTTCAGAGCGAGTGATATATTACTAGTTGAAGAGAGCCAGGCTGAATGTGACGAGGCCAGGGCATGAGTGTGGGAGAGAACAGGGAGGACTGTGGGAGCTTCTCTATAGTCTACCTCGCTGGTAAATGTCACCCTTGGATACCAGCACCCTGGCCATGTTGCCACCTAGTGGAACTGGCCCAGATGCACCCGGGAGCATCACCCACCTCTTCTCACTCCAGGTCAAATTAACAGTGTGATATTGGTGGCAGGGAAGCTTACTGCTCTTTCCCCCCAGGGTATTTTAGACAAAGAATTGAACAAAGGGATGGATGGAACCATGTTCTCCCAAATTATATTAATTTTGCCTTAGGGAAAAAATGGAGCTGAATGCCAATAAATATATTTAAATATATAGAATACATTTATCAAATATAAAGAATTTCCCATAGAGAACAATTGCTGAGAGTGTGGAACACACATGGCCCTTTGGCTCAGCACGTGGTGCGTGCGGAACCCAGCATTGGGGGCGTTCTGCAGCGGAGCGCAGGCACAGCCCCTCTGGCTCTGGTTGGCTTGTTGTTTCATGTGGTTGTAGAGTCCATCCAGGTGCAGTGGTGAAAGAGGAGAGCCCTTGACATGGACCCCACAGCCCACAGCCCCCAGAGCTGGGAGACACTGTAAAGAGCTGTGCTGAGTCTGGCTGGTGTGGCTCAGCAGTTGAGCATCGACCCAGAAACTGGGAGGTTATGGGTTAAATTCCTAGTCAGGGCACATGCCTGGGTTGTGGGCTCAATCCCCAGTGAGGGACATGCAAGAGGCAGCTGATCGATGATGTTCCTCTCTCATCGGTGTTTCTATCTCTCTATCGCTCTCCCTTCCTCTCTAAAAATCAACTTTAAAAAACAAACAAATGAAAAGGGCTGTACCTGCTCTCCCTTTTACCCATCCTTGCATGTGTCCATTCACCAAAACTTACTGAATTCCTGTTACGTACCAGGCACTCTTCCAGGGACTGGGGAAATGCCAGTGAACAAAGCAGACAGAAGTCCCTGCCCTTGGAGGGCCAACCTTCTGGATAATATGAAAACAAATAAGTAGACTATTCAGAGGTAGCGCAGGAGAAGCTAGATCAAAGGAAAACTAAGCTAAGATTTATGTTAGCTACAGCTTTTAAAACAAGCTAATAAGGCTTTTACTATGGCGTACTTTTCTACCTACCTCTGACCTTTGGCACCTGTATGTTTGATTTTTCTTATTTTACTAGAGGCCCGGTGCATGAAGTTCGTGCATGGGAGGGAGGGGTCCCTCAGCCCGGCCTGCACCGTCTCACAATCTAGGACCCCTTAAAGGATGTCCGACTGCCAGTTTAGGCCCATGGGATCGATCACCCCTAACCACTTTGCCTGATTGCCCCTAACCACTCTGCCTGCCTGCCTGATCACCCCTACTCGCTTCTGTCTCAGCCTCCACTGCCGCAGCTTCGTCTGGAAGGACATCCGGAATGACGTTTGGAAGGTCATTCAGATGTCCGGTTTAATTAGCATATTACACTTTTATTATTATAGATATGTTCTGTATTTTTAAAAATACATGAATATATATACATATGGTGGGATAATGTTAACTGATAAGCTTATAGGGGGATACATATTGTTTGGGGGGGGCAGGGGAGAGAAGGATTTGCTATTGTGTGTCCTCTCTGAGAATGTGTTATTAGACTCATCTGAAAGATGTGAGGAAGCCAGGCCTGTGAGTATCCTGGGGAAGAACATTCTGGGCAGAGGAAGAACAGAAGCAAAGGCCCTGAGGTGGGAATGGGCGTGGTATTCCAGGAAAGGCCAGGGGGCTGATATGAGGAGGGGAGATGAGCCAGACAGGTGGTGAGGAACCAGAATAGGTGGCACCTTGTGGACAGCTGAAATGATTTGACTTTTACTGGGCAGAAGATGGTCTAGTATAATCTACTAATTTTACAAATGAAATTTAGGACAAAGGAGAAGTCAAATCAAGTGTCTATGGTTATTCAGTGTCCTAGTGCCAGAGCTGGGATAAGTACCTGCCTCTGACCCCAGCATTCTTCCCACCACCCTGCTGCTTGGTGGGATGTGGGCCACACACCGGCCCAGACTTCCTCCAGCAGCTGTCTCAGCGGTTCATTCTGGTTGGGCCAGTGTGTCCTGCCCACCTACCGAGGACCGGTTGCAAACACAAGAAAGGGTCAGACCTCTCATCCCCAAGGAGTCCCTTGTGAAATATCGCCTTTCTTTGTTTTGATCTGGAACTAATTCCTCTGGTTTTATAAATACTATGATCTCATGAACCAGAATCTGCAACCTCCTAGACTCTAGGACCTAGAGCCTCCTTATGCTCATTGCCAAGTTACTTGGAAACAGTTAATACAAAATAAGAGTGACTGATGGTTATCAAATGCAGTTTGACCTGAACAATTTTTGCTCAACATTCTTTGTCTTCTTGCTTTACTATAAGTCAGTTCAAGCCTTTATTTTTCCTTCCATTCCTCTAGATTAGGGGTGTCGAACTCAATCAGAGAAGGGGCCAAAATCTAAAATCCAGCCTAAATCGCGGGCCGAATGGTTTACTGAACAGTCATAAACTGTCATTGTGATGGAAACGCAGCGGAGTGCAGTGATGACAGCGCGGTGCGGGCCACATTGCAAGGCCTGGCGGGACGGATTTGGCCCGCGGGCCTTGTGTTTGACACATGTGCGCTAGATCTTATGACTGTTGTCCTCTGGGCACTGGCCAAATTTTCTAATTTCACTTTCTGTTGAAGGTCGGACTAGTGCTGAGTATAGAGAAAAATAACTCTGCTCTCACCTGTGTCATCCCCTCTCCTCTGGTCACCCATGACCTGTATTCTGTGGACAGAGTAACATGAGGTATTTGTGTAAGGTCGTCCCATCTTGTGGAGAGAACTAAACCATCCCTGACTCTCTTGCCTCTTCTTTCCCTTCTTCCCAACATGGATACCTCGAGATTTACAGTAGCATCTTAATTTGCATTTAGAGTTGTGTAGCACTTTTCTGTGCGTTTTTAATGTCCACTTGTGTACATTGTCTGTAAATGAGCTCTCAAAACCTGGGGTTAACACTGATTGGCATCAGCACTTTCAGTAGTTAGTTCAGTAGTAAATTTACATTAGCATCTTAATTTGCATTTAAAATTGAATAGCACTTTTTCTATGTGTTTTTTAATGTTAACTTGTGTACATTGTTTATAAATGAGCTCTCAAGACCTGGGGTTAGCACTGATTGGCATCCTTTGGTATCAGTACTTCCAGTAGTCAGTTCTTCATCTACCCCTAGAGCATGAGGGCGAAGACTCCCACAATCCTTTGCTTGTGGTCTTTGGTCCTCGCTGGCTTGGGGAGAACCTGAGGAGGAGTGCTTGCTGGGGAAAATCTGTGATCAAAACTCAGGACAAAAAAGCAAATGCAGAAATGCAAGTATTTACCTGGGGGTTGCTACCAGCAGCAAGGAGGCCTTAAGAAAACTTGACAAGAAGCATTTCTTCATCTCCAGCTTTTGAACAAGTGTTTGTTGCGTGTGGGTGGTGGACCCCAAGAGTGTTCAGTTACAGGTGCCTGCAAAGACCGCCTCATTAAAATGCTGACTGATTTCCCCAGCTTCCAGCTTCCAGAAAGTCCTTCTGTTGGAATTCAGTGTTTCGGCCATAAGAGTGGAAGTGCAAGATTGCTGGGTGCCGTCCTCAGAGGAGCTCCAAGTGGACTTAAGCATATCCTAAGGCAAAAAGCTGGCCTGACCCTAATAGCCCAGCACTGCCTGTTCCTACTTAATAAGTTCCTACCATTCACAAATGTATCCCTGAGCTCCTTACCACACCCTTGGTTCCTGGGACAAATCCCAGGGCAGCCTGACCTGGCTCCTGGCTTCTGGCTCCTGGCTCATTAGTATGAAGCTTTTACACACTTGCCTACCTTACAAGTCTTGCCCTGCCTCCTGTCAGGAAGGTGGCCACCCCTTTGTGGCAAAGATGTCCCCACACAGGGCCCACCGGGAAGCCCATCGGCGCTGGTGGGCAGTTTCATGCTAGGAGTGGAGGAGGAAGCCCAGGGAGTCTGGGCCTGTCTCTCAGGCTCTCTGCCCTGCCTGTGCCACAATCCCCCCGCCCCTCAGGGCATGGCTGTCAGTTACCTTTGCCATCAGACAGGCTAGCCTTTGCCTTGCAGGAGAGGGGCCTCCAGACTGTGCTCTGGCCTTTGTCAGGCGGGGAGCTTGAGGAAACGGAGAAGAATGGGCTGGTCATGTGGTGAAGCCGGCAGCAACATTAGAAGTCCTCATTCGCTGCACAGGATGTTATATCAGTTAGGGCTCTTATGCAAGAGAGAGAAACCCAGTGTAGACTGGCTCGTACGAAAGAGAATTTCTTATTAGCTTACATAACTAGAATGAGTTTTGATTTAGCAGTTCAGTGATGGCAAGAACCCATTTTCTTTCCAGCCTGTTCTCTGTTTGAACTTCATCCTCAGCTCGTTCTGCATTGGTGGTTAGATGTCTGCAGCATATCTAACTTCATATCTGCAACACTCTGTCCAGAGGGAGAGAGAACTGACTTCTGGTGACTCTATTACAGGAGCGAGTGACCTTTTCTACAAGTCCCAGAAAATTTCCGGTGTCTCAGTCACATTGGGCCATGTGCCCAGTCTTAAGCCAGTTTACTAACAATAACAAGTGCTGTGTTGATTGGCTTAGGCTGGATTGCCTAAACCAATCACTATATGGTTAAGGGGGTGTGAATACTCTGAGTTAAAATGGTCAGGGCTGTCTGGCCGGTATGGCTCAGTGGATGAGTCTCAACCTATGAACCAGGAGGTCTCAGTTCACTTCCCAGCCAAGGCACAGGCCTGGGTTGTGGGCTTGATCCCCAGTAGGAGGCAAGCAGGAGGCAGCTGATGGTTGATTCTGTCTCATCATTGATGCTTCTATCCTTCTCTCCCCCTCCCTTCTCTCTGAAACCAATAAAAACATTAAAAAATTAAAAAATACAATGGTCAGGGCTGAACTCGAGACCTAGGAGTGGGGAAAGTTTCCCCCTCAAACAGCACAATGCAGAAGAGGGAGGATGGAAGTGATGGCTGGTAGGTCAGCTACAGTATCTGCCACAGGCTTCCATTCACTGTGTTTTTTTCTGTTGCTTCTGGTGACTGGCTATGATATAACACTGTGAGCAGAGTTCTGCATATTTGATTCCACCCCTCACCCCTCACCCCCCAAGACAATGACACAGATGCTATCAGAGAGACCAAGGACACATACTCCAGGAAGGGAAAGTCTCGAAAGTTGATAAAGTATCCCCAAGGTACCTTAGACCTGGTCTGGTAAACATTGAACAATGAGAGTAAGGACTAGAGAAAATTATAACAGGCAACCTTTAAACCTATGGTAATTATAAGTCCCCATAAAACACTGAAGTCCAATACCATGTTTCTTTTAAAACAGTGTAATACGGCCATATGTCCCTGTAAAGAATACCCCTACCTTGTATAGATATGAGCCTAATTGCCAGTTGTGAAGCTGCACGCTAATAAACAAAACAGGGCAGTCAATCCTATAGGGCTTGATTTCATTTACCCAAATGGGACAACTACCGTGTTTCCCCGAAAATAAGACCTAGCGCATCTTTGGGAGCAAAAATTAATATAAGACACTGTCTTATTTTCGGGGAAACGGGGTAGGAGACTGCTGTCTAGGGCAGGGAAGGACTGGGCCACGTGCAGAGGGCTCTTGGAGAGGGAGAAACATGGTGATAAAAAGGAAACCACCATTTTTGTCATGAGTAAGTTGGAGCAGAAAAGCAAGCAGTTTATCTTTGCAGATGAAATTCATGCGTGAGGTACAAGGTTACAAACTCAGAGCCTGCCTCCAGCCAGGCAGTATTCCCTGCTGTGCCCCTGCGGGAAATATATGCACTGAGTGCCAACCAGGGTAGAGGAACCCTTCATGATGGATGGGCTTTGACTGAAATCCTAACGATGACCTTAAGTGAGCTAGACTGTCTGTGTGCCAGAAATCAAATCCAGGAAAACTGGGCTGGGCTGCAAAAGGACTTGGTGCCTAAACGCATGTTGTGTCCCAGGGCGGCTGGCTGCAGAGAGGACACCTCCACAGGGGAGGTCTTGGACATCTAGTTCTAGTCCCTGTGAAGACACTTGTAGGACAAACCTTTGAGCGTGTCCTAGCAACTTGCTCAGCCTTATTTCTCATTCATGAACAAGTATGAAGAATAAATACATAGAATGAGAGGATCTCAAAAGCTTCTTTGAGCACTAGCTTTCTGATAGATATATCAGAAAAGCACTAGCTTTTCTGATAAATCTTTATTGTTGAAAGTATTACATATGTCCCCCTTTGTCCTCCATTGATCCCTTCCAGTCCGCCCCCGCCCCCTGCCCCGGGCCTTCACCACCCTATTGTCTGTATCTAGTTTTCTGATGCTTGGGTTCTGTGCAGGGCCTGATAGGAAGTGTGGCAAGGAACTGAGATGGGGTTGAAGTAGAGACTTAAATCCTCTGTGCCAGGACAGACAGAGAGATGATGCTGCAAATATCTTAAATAGGCACCAAGTGGCTGAATGGCTGATTGCCCCAAGTTGAGTGTCATTTTATAGGCACTATAGATCCTGCAATACAGCCACAGCTCCCTGAATAGCAGGGTTGTTTCCTTTGCCAAGCCCGGCTTGGATTGGATTTTGGCTGCCAGGCTCGTGTTCTGTGACATCCAGATGTCAGGGATCTTGTGGGATCAGTGTACATGAGGCGAGATCAGAGAGAGACTCTGGCAGATACTGCTGTTAAAACGTGGTTTCAAAGCCGCGGTCACATGGCTGATTCTGAGACTGATGAGCCCCACCCGTGTTTTTGGTTTCCTCTCTGCTAGGAGTCTGATTGCCAGTGGTGTTGCATGCTGTTGTGGTTTATTGTTTTTCAGCCACCCTGTTGCTCAATAATCCACATGTCCTCCACTCTGAAACGGTTAACACCGAAGCTCTACCGGAGAGAAGTTATTTGTTTGTTCTTAATATCAGTTTATATAAGCCAGTGGTCCCAAACTCAAATGTCCGCAGGCACCAGGCAAGAAATACGTCTGTGTAAAAATGGCGCTTTGTGTGATCAGGGGCCTGTAGCCAACTTGCAGGGAATGGGTCCCCTCTAAAGGCTTTAAAGTTCCGGTGAAAAGCAAAACGTGTCTGGCCCAGGAAAATCCTGTGAGCTAGATTCAGACCTAAGGTTACCAACTTGTGATTCCCGAGCTACCTAATATGACTATTCAGCTATCGTTGTTATGTTTGCTCAACTTCAGAGATGCCAGATTTTATGAATGTGAGCCTTTTGTAATTTTGTTTTTATAACACATTTCAGCTTTTTACCTTAGATTAAAAGACTGATTCTTATTGAAATAAGTGGTAAAATCAATAATTCTTACCCACAGATTGGAAATACTTCAAAAGGAATAATATCCTCATGAAAATCATTTCTTTGGTGCATGGCCATTGGAGGTTGAATCAATTTGGAAAAACAGAGATCGAAATCTCAATCTAAAACAGTTCTGAGTGTTTTACATCATTTAAAAAAATACATCACTAAAGATAAGGAATCCCAAGCGTTTGAAACATATACTTCTGCCCTGGGAGTTGCCTGCTGAGTATATACACCCATGTTTGTCTTTTCTTACTGTTAGCCCGGGTAGGGTTAGTGACCAGGGTGGAATGGGAAGTGGGACAAGCTTGTTTTCTCAAACTTCCAACCCACCCTACACTTCTACCACAAGTGCCATGAGTGAACAAAGGAACCAGTGAATCCATTTATTCTTAGATGTTAGTCACCGTGGGACTTTCTGCCACGGGATGCTTGCATTTTAAAAAGAATCTGATGGTGGAACAGAAAATAGGTCTTAGGCCAAAGTACCAGGACTCCAATGAGAGTACTTCCTGTTGTGCCCAGAGGATGATTGCAGGGTTGGGAGCCTCCCAGGTAACACCTTATGTTGCCTTGCTTCAGGTAACGCCTGCTGGACTAGCATGAGCCACTGAGCATGGAGTGGGGTTCAGCTTCATTCTGTTTTGTTTGCATAATCTGCGCATCAGAGTCCATGCAAATTATTGCAAATGTGTTTCTGTAAGGGACTGATGGCACCCAGCTTCCCTGTGTCAGGAGCTGGCTGGTGGGAGAGTTCTGAGAATTTAAATATTCCTTCAGCAAAGAGACTCACAGCTATGCTCAGGTTTCATTCTTTTGACAGTGCTCTCAACTTGTTTCTTTCCGTGAGACTTTGTCAACTAATAGTCCACCAGTCCTTTCTGCAACTCCTTGCAATTTGGCTTCTGCCACCAGTCATGTTACTAAATTGTCTTCCTCAAAGCTCCCCAGTGATCATATCCATTGGCCTTTACTTTAAGCCTTTCTTTCTGACTGGTGATTCTTTCACCCACGGACTATTACGCATGCTGCTAACTCTACCTGGAACCATTCTTTCTTCTTTTCTCCTTCACCTCCTCTTCCTTGGCTAATTCCTGATCTTCAAGTCTTAGCTTGGGCATCACTTCTTTCAGAAAGCCTTTCATGATGAATCCTTTCCCCAGGTTTGGTTTATGAACTTGTCCTATGAGCTTTCATAACACTCCATACTTTTCTGCTATTATACTTATCATACTATATTTTATCATGCTCTAGTTTTATTGGAGTCCTCCCTTCTTCCCCGCTGTACGATGGACTCTGTGAGGACAGGAACCATGATGGCTTTATCTACACCATGTGCCTTGTGCCTATACATGGCAGATGCTCAATAAATATTTGCAGAACGAACTACCTGATGGTGACATCTGAACAGCGACATCTACATTTCCTGTAGAGCCGACAATGAAGCCCTGGTTTCCTCCATCAACCTTTGGTTCTTCCTAGGACTCTAGTTAGAAGATGTAGATATGTTGTTGGATATTGTCAATATCTGCTCCTAAGGAAGAAGGAGGCTTTCAGGAAACCCAGGCCATTCACCTTGAGCCACTTCATGACCAGGGAGCAACTCTGTGCATTGCTTATGTTAAACAGTGATGGCTACCTGTCGATGCAACCAAAGGAGAGATGAGTTTTAAGGATTCTGACTACTAACAGAGTGGGTAACACATCATTCGGGAGACCAGGCTAATGGGTGATAATGATTTTGCCATCATTGTGGAGAAAGAATCTGAATACAACTGATTGACAACAGTAGGGAAACATATACTAAGTAAGAGTTAGAGGGACTGGTAAGTGCTGTGTAGATGTAAAACTGTGTAGACATTACTGCACTTTCTGGACCATTTAAGGAATTTCCAAGGTAATTTTAATGATGTGCAGTTTCACTTTAATGATCTTTAGAACCTAATGTCCCTCC